CCCACTTGTTCTTCAGATGCTCTATTCTTTGTGCTTCCATTATTTCTTTTGACAATGGGTCTCGACTTTTAACTATTACGGAACAATTTTCAAAATGTGTTGCACAACCACAATCCGGAGAGTGGGTTCCCAAATGTCCAGCGGCGACTCGGTGGGTGTTATAAAAATGCTCCTTTAAACGATCATTCAAACACCTGCCAGTCTGGTCTACATAACTAGTGTGGTAAGAAGTATGTAGGCCAGACTGGCAGGTGTTTGAATGATCGTTTAAGGGAGCATTTTTATAATAACCCCCGAGTCGTCGCTGTACATTTGGGAATCTGCTGTCAAGATTGTGGTTGCGTAGCACATTTTGAAAATTGTTTTATAATAGATAGATAGAAATAATGAGAGGGCAAAGAATAGAGCACCTGAAGGACAAGTGTGTAAGTAGTCCCTCTATAGCACTGTCGACCAAAGAGCTTCAATTTCTATCTAAACAATAGTGGTGAGTAAGAAGGATGATTTGTAAGGGTTTTCTTTATCCTTTTTTTTTCTTTTGTCTTGTCTTTTGCTTTTTTTCCTTGTATTTCGTGCTATTTCTTCTGCTTATCACGTTCTGGAAAGTCAATCCAGACGTTGAAGAGAAGAATGAAGTAGTCGAATACACAAGAGCTATAAGGTTAGCGCGTGTGCTTGTCTTTCTGAGTATCTGGTGTGTGATTGTTTCCCTGCACTGTCATCGTAGAATATGCAAAAATGAATAATGACATTGGTATATTTGTCATGCCAAAGCCTGTCACACTTATTCCGAACTCTGATCTCCACGAGATCACAATACCATCGTTTCTGTTGTAGTGGCACTGCAGACTCTATACTTGTTTTGCTTCAGTCTTTGTAAGGAGGACGCTCTAATCCGATTCTACTCATCTATGGTGTACTAGATAGCACCATATTTGCAGAGCTAGTCTTTGGTTTTTGTAGTTCCATCGAAATATATTTCAACCTTTAAGTTATTTGTCGTTTGGCATGTAAATTTACAAGCTTATCTAGATTGAAGGCAACAAATATTTTGCCAGCACTCATGGTACGCGTTTGAAGTATATTGCGTTAACATAATTGACCCAACCTCTGATTTTTATTTGTCAGTGAATCTAGCGAATTGTACATGCGAGGATTGCTTTTGCTTGTTCGTTTCACATAATCTACGGCACATTTTTCACCTTTCTACTCAGTGCAGCCCTCGCCGAACAGACGCTAGCATCGACTAGGCCGAGGTTCAGGTCTATGGCAGTCTCCAAAGGTTGTTGATGGGTAAGCTGCCTTATATGTACAGCTGTGTAAGAGCAGCTTGTCTTGGGTGACAATTTGAAATGCATTTTGATGTTTTAGAAAGTGAAATTTGCATGGGCATACTTGCAACGTGAAGCCTTACCAAGCCTGTTTTGAACTTTCGTCCTCTTGAGATTTCGATACAGCCGTTTATGCTGCACACAGACTAGCTACTTCGGCCAGGTAGAGAATTGATCGATATGAAGGTAAACAGGTGAGTGCCAACTGCTCAGTTCCATCTGTGGTGACGTTCTCTCCTTATCAGACGACTTACCACACTTGGTTCGCAAAACATTTGAAAAGGAGAGCAAGTCAGCTGCTGCATGATGCTCCCAGTACTGAGCAGTCGACGATTGCTTGTTCACCTTCGTATAGATCACGAGTGTACTTCAAGCTCGGCAAGTGTGAGACTTATCTGATTCAGCCTAGCAGTGGTGTGCTGAGCGGGATGTGTAGAGCTAGATGACTTGTGTACAGGCAGTGGCTGTGCGGTGTAAAACAAACCCAATTGGGAACTTTAATGCAATCTTGTGTAGTCCCATTGATGTCATGATTATGATTACACAACGTTTCATAGTGCAAAGAAAAAAATGCGATGTAATCGTTTTTTTAGACTGCGTGTGCAACCTCCAAGCTTGTGTTTGTACGTTCTGTGTGGTGAAACGTGCTGTATAAGCAAAATTAGAGAATCCTCGAGCTATATGCTGCAAGGAGTGAAAACAGCAATCTGGCCGCATTCTTCCCACTTCCGTATACTGTGCAAATGCAGATAGACACACACTTTGGATGCTTTGCACTTAAACACCCCACATAAAGCACACTGCTTAATAAGCATCAATTGTCAAGTGTGCGGATTTGGCTGTTCAGCAAAATGTGGGCCAAATCGTTTGTGTCAAATCTTTTTGTCGCCCCAAAAAAAAGTCTTGTGTTGTCCTAGGCCAGGGGCCTATTTAGAAAAATTATTGCAAAACAATGTATCTAATAATGTTTATGTGTGCTGATTCTTGTTTTTTTTTCTAATTACAGCATACACGGAGGGTATATCCAAGGAGAAGGGGTGGGGTTATGTAGAGAAGCTAGTGCTTCTTTCTATGGGTACAGAGCTGTCCGAAGTAAGGTCAGAATGGAAAGAGCACCACCAAGTTCCGCCTGGTTCTGAACAGCTACAAAATGAACACAGAATTCAGAAGAATAGTAATATGAAGGACCTAGGCAGGGTAGCCACACGTTTTGAGTTCGCAATGACATTTGAATAAGATCACAAATATTCTTGTTTTACGCAAGGTCGCCTAGTTTACTCACCATATTGGTTACGTTTAGCACAGCAGAAATATTTTTTTTATCAGACTGAAACCTCATTGTTAATTGAACTAATGTGGCTGTCTGTGTAAGTCCTTCGTGTTTTTATTCTTTTTTATTTGTGTGTTCATTATTTCATGTTTTTCTCGTGATTTAGTCTGTGTTTTTGTTACTTATGCGTTCATCATATCTTTAAGTTTTAGTTAAAGATATGATGCCCTCGCCGTTTTCTAGTCCGGGAAATGGTGGTGACCTCGTCGTGTTCAAGGAGCAGTAATGAACTTTCCATCTTGTATTGCTTCCGGCGAACAATGGTGTCTTTGTGCGTGTGTGTGTGCGATGTGTTGATCACAAGGGATGATTTCGGGACCGAACGGAACAACAAGGCCAGCGAGGAGCGACTGGGGGACTTTGAACATCGCACGGTGCAAGGAAGGACTTCAACGACGAGGCTAGCAAGCAAGCCCTTGTCAAAATTGATGTGCTCGACCGGAGAGTTGAATCAGGACTGTGACCCTGTGAGTAAGAATCAACGACTTTGGAACTGCCGTATAGTTTACAGCTTAATTGTCGCCTTCCTTTTGTTTTATTTTAATAGGTATCTGTGTGCTATTACATTTTTATTTTATTTTAATGGTTGTCCGTGTGATATTACCATTTGTTTTCTTGAACGGCGAAGTGCTTGTTTACAGTTTTGGCGCTTTTATGTATAAAACTTTTTTTTGCAAACCATATTCTCTGTGCTCCCTCGACAACCAATCCCGCCAAAGGGCTGTGATTTTCCGACGTCCATTGACATATTTCCTTACTAGCGATCGCCTGCATTTTATCTTTGCAGCATACATATTTGTCGGAATCACAAATTTCGAACCAGGCCAATAAAGATTGGTCAGTGGCCTATTCTGTCGATGCATCTATATAAACACACGTTTGGCAGTGTGGGATAGCAGTAAAATGTATATTTTGTGGATATTCATAGAAATGCATTATATGATTCCTTGTCTGGACCTGAAAGTATGGTACCTGCCCCATGGCAATAATTTTAATGTGATGCTAGAAGGAGCATCACATGAAAGTTGCTTTATATGGGGTAAGTACTATATTTTCCAGGCCCAAACACGGGATCATATAAAGCAGTCTATACAGGGTATATGACAAAATGGGGGGATATGGCTATATCCATCCAGATACGGTCTGATTATGCATATGTGGTCCATATCTGCCCAATTCCTCATATATCCATATCTGTATTTTTTATTAGAAGTCTAGATATGACATTTTTGTAAGGGATGGCCTTTAGCATCAGCTGCAGCACATCGGAAGGTGAAAGAGTAGGTATGTCACTATTAAACTATTTCTATTATATTCCGGTGTTACTCGATCCAATTTAATATACGGTTAGACCCACTCCAATAAAGCTCTACGGATTGGCCATATACGGTTCAGCTTCCGCTTCAACCAATTACGGTTGGGTTTCCGGACTGGGCATTTCCGGTTCATTTTACGGTTTCTAGAAATCCGGTTTGCTTAGGGGCCCATATGAGGGTTTGAAATTCCGGATCCATTCCGGTTTATTTTTAAACCGTTTTTTTGGTAAGGTCCTAATCAATAGCTGTAAAAAAAAAAAAAAGAAAAAGGCGTAGGTTTTTTACGTGTTTGCAAATTAGAGGAGGAAATACAAACTGTAGATTGCTATCAAATAATCGCCACACGGTTGTGTTTCTTCTGGTTAAATAATGTTACAAGGAAGATTAACGCCTTTATAGATTATGGTAATTTAACTCCGCTCTAGACGAAAAAAATGTACTTCATAACTTATAAAAAACATACTCTAATGATTTGCTGAATTATTATAAATTGACTTCTTGGCGATTAGATCGCTAACCAACTATTGCACTTAAAACCAAGGCGAACAGGGTAACAAAAAGAAAAAGAAAAAGAAGCACATTATTAAAAGGTTCAACAAAAAGGTTGAGGGGTACAGAGAATAATAAAACAGAGGCCAACAACGAGCAAGGTAAAGCAAGAATTAAATAATCAGAATACAGTCAGTGAGCAGGCGAGCTGGTGCAAGCTGATCACAATGACTTTAACCCGAAACTGGGGCAGTAGAAGGACATTTTTTGTTTACATTGGTGGAAATCGCCACAAGAACAGACACGTCTCCTGACACGTGTCTGTCTCCGTTTTTTTTTCTACCACTGTAAATAAATTTACCTTCTGCCCAGCTTCCGGTTAAAATCATAAAGACAAACTATTAGGTTGCTGTATATAAAATAGCTCCGTATAACTACACGGGTTTCAAATTCTCATTTAAGACACATAAATTAAATGATCCAAATGGCAGCAGAGAATAAACTACGAAATGCATGGTATTGTTCGTGCTAATAATGACACATTTTACGCTGTAATTAATACAACGTAGCGCTATTTTTTTTTTTACTTTGTTGAGATCCTCATGTCGTGTAATTTGTCTTTTTTATATATTTATATTTTTATCTCGACATTTTATAAACAACTTTTTTTATCACATCTTTCTAGTCTTTATGAACTAATGTTAAGGGACGTTACGCTTTAACTAAATGACTCTATCGTCAAAATAAGCCTTCTAAATATGTAGAGCACAGTGACAGACGACTATACTACACTTTTTTTCCTGCCCCTCTGGCTCGACATATCTGTCCACTCAAGCGCAGAACGCCTCACCCTAACGTTTCTTCGTATACATGCCAGGAACATTTCCTCTACTTTCAACAGACATACTCACTACAGCCCATTCCAACGAAAGGCCATCTGGATGTTTCACTCTAATGGCGAATTCGCGTGGTGCTTTTAGCGCGCTCAGGAGCGCTCTTTCCAGCGCGCGCCTGATCGGGTGGTTGAAAAAGAGCACGGCGACGTAATCGCGTGGTTGATTCCGAGGGCCTCCCTCCCTCCGAGAGCGCTCCCTGCCACTCTCGCTGGGACCGTCGGAGTGACGTGGTGCTCGAACGGGAGCCGGGGTCACGTGGTACATGTCACGTGGTTTTGTTGACTTCGCGCACCGACGAGCCGTGGACGAGCCGAGGAAGACGACACAAAAGGGCGAAACGTCGGCGACTCGCGTTGCGCGTAGCTCTGTGTTCGCCGCTCTTTGCAGCAAACGTCGACAGCGACGAAAGTTCAGCCAGCGCATCGGAAGACGACGACCAGATTTACGCTGAAAAGTTTGTGGAATTCTTCGGTGTGCCGCAGCACATACCGAAGATCGAAAATTACGTAGAAAACGTCGTCCACGCATACTCGGATTACGAGGTACTCTTGTTTTGAATTTTCGGCACGCATGGTAAAGCTTGAAAACAAGAAAGAACTCGCACATATTACTGTTTTAATCTCCCAGTTTCGCAGGAACTTTCGACTGGAAAGAGCCGTGTGCGACGACCTGATCGCTCGTTTCGGGTCATCCGAATTTTGCCCGACAGACGGGCGGCATGGCGGGGCAAGTCCAAAGTCTGCCGAGGATCACGTACTTTCTTTCCTGTGGTAAGTCAGTGCTGGGCAGTCGCCTAGGCCATGGGTCAGAACGTTCAACCTTGAAACGAATAATCTGCGCTGTTCTGATAAATTAGAAAGCTGTTACTGCGACGCTGTTTCTGAAGTGGCGGCACTCTTCCGCGCGTTCGTGCCGTCCGTAGATGTTACGCTTATTCCAATGTGTATTTTATCAGCGTCTCGCCGCTGATTTGTTTTATGGTAAAGCGCGAGCGAGACAAATGTCACAAACACGAGTAGTATGCTTCCATGATGAATATGCTTACGTCTGCGCAGTACAGCCGTGCGGGCTCTTCGCGTTTGCCGAGCCTGGCACGTTCACTCGCGAAAGCTACGACTGTGTGATTTAAAATAAATTTGAATTTGGATCTTACTTTGTTCAGTGGTGGAGACAGCAGCTACAAAATCAAAATAATTAAAACAAAAGCGTAAAAAAAAATTGTATCGGAGGTGTGCAGCAACGAACCTGATTATTCTGTGGAGATCACGGGCACGCTAACAACCATCGCGCTATTGAAGCGAGCTATAAATATTAGTTTTCAGTTAATATGATTCACCAAGAAAGCCTTCTAGCAATACTTATTTCCAATATACTCATAATTTGCTATTTGAGCACAAAAAGATGTGCAGGGCAAACGGGCACAGTGATTTCGACCACAATAGGACGATTAGCATGCTGTTCTTTATTAATGCACAGTATTTGAACAATACATGGCTTGCATTGACCTCCCATCAGTCTACATTACTTCGTACCATGCTCCTGTGCACGCGATCCGGCCAACTCGTTGAAAGCCAACTTGTCGACGGCGAATTCGTTAAATAGGCCAATTCGTAATGAGCCAGTTCGTCGAAGGGCAACTTGTCGAAAGGGGCAATCTGTCGAAGGGCGACTCATCGAATGTTTTGAATGACGGTCCGAGGTAAAAGTTTGTGGTTCATTGTTATCCTTTGACCTAAATTTTCATTTCTTTTTGCACTGAAGTCAGCGCTTTTCCTAGATTACAAGGCGGAAAGGAAAATTGCAAGAGGGCGAAGACAGGACAGTTCATTGAGACAAGTTGAGAAATGTTCATTTCGGGATCCTCCTTTTGTTTCTTTTCTTTTATTACTTTTTGTAATGAGCCACCGCAGTCTGTCGAAGCGAATCTGCGTGACTGGTGGGCATGGGTCGGCATTTTAGAGTCCCTTCATTCACCATCACATCACGAACAAAATCACGTCTCCAAATTCATTCGCATTTACGTCATAAGGTACTCCGATCTCCCAAAGTCACGGCCCATCACATCCCGGCGTTCAACCGCGCCAAAACTTCATCCCCTTCACATCACGGCTTTCAAACTCCGCCGAGAATTCATCCCCTTCACATCACGGCGTTCAACCGCGCCAAGAATTCATCCCCATCACATCACCGCCGCCTTCAAATTCGCGGAGTCATTCACCATCACATCACCAATTCACGAAGTCATTCACCATCACCACGAATTCATCAGAATTCACCCTCGTGAATTTATCGGGATTCACCTTCACACCACGAATTCATCCGAATTCACCATCATTTCACGAAGGTATTCACCATCACGGTCAACACGAATTCACCGGAATTCGCCATCACATCATGAATTCCCCATAATTCACGAACTCATTCAGGTTCATTCTGACTAAATTTGACTTCACGGCTGGTAGCCTTTCACAAGTTCGCAGTTCTTGCGGAATAGGACTGTGGCTACCTTTTGTGTCAGCCACTTGAAACCAGGACCTGACTTCGTCGGGGAAGTGGGGTATTTCGAGTGCGCGAAACTCAAAGCACATTGATGGAGCACCAACCCAGCCAAGGCCGCGCTGCGATCGTGTCACGTGAATGTGTTCCATGCGCCGCCGTGCGGAACCGGCAGTTCACGTGATATGGTCTCAGCGCCGGATTAGGTGCGCCTGCTCGTGACGTCGGCTTCGTCTTCGTCTCTTCATTGCCACTGTCACCGCACTTCCCTTATAAACAGCTGGTACTTTGAAAGTGCTCGACAAAGAGCCACTGCGCTGAGGCGCACACGGCTACGCAGCAAGACTGATGCCCAAACCGCTAAACTAAAATCGGTTCCTGGCATTTGAGGTGAAGGATGATAACAACCAGCAAGCAAACAAGCACCTGCGTAACATGTTTTCGACCAATTCTGAATTAATAACCGTATTCACTATCACGTCGAGAATTAAGTTCACGGTATTACTTTCCATCACAAACTTATCAACTTCACGAGCCACTCACATCACAAATCAATTCTGTTCACAAGCCATTCACCATCACGTCACGAATTAATTGAGTCATTCACATCACAATGAATTCTCTTCAGTTCATGAAGTTATTCACAATCACAACACATCATGAGTTCATTAAAATTCACGAAGTCATTCACCATCACATCACGACTTCATTCAACATCACATCACGAATTCATTCATCATAACATCACAAATTCATTCAAAATCACGAAGTCATTCATCATCACATTCACCATCACATCACGAATTCATTCAATATCACGTCACAAATTCATTGACATTCACGAAGTTATTCACCATCACATCACGAATTCATTTAAATTCACAAAGTCATTCTTCATCACATCATGATTTTTTTTCAATTTCAAGAATTCATTCAGAGCCATTCAGAGTCACGCTGTGAATGTGAATGAAGGTGAATGAGCGAGTTCATGAATGAATTTGCCGAGGTATGCTGGTGAGCCAGGTGGGTTAGCATTTCTGTTATGAGCCGCCGCAGACTGTCGCCGCGAAGCGGCGTGAACGGGTGAGCCGAGTAGGTTAACACGGGCCCCAGTGATAGACGCACGACACAGTTATCGTCCCCCACTGCACCGTGAAGGCGAAGAAAGCTGCAAGTTGTCATTTTTGACAAGAAAGAGCACACCGGAGGTCTGCTACTGTGCGACGATACTATGTATTACTATACGGCAGGATTTGCTTTAATATTTCAGGGCAAAGAATTGTATATTATGGCTTTGAAACAGCGGCGACTAGTTGGCCTCTTCGACGAGTTTTCCTTTGACGAGTTGCCCTATGACGAATTGGCCTATTCGACAAACGGGCCACCGACAAGTTGGCCGTTGACTTTCGACGAGTTGGCCTAGACCTCCTGTGCACATATCTTCTGCAGCCTACATTTCGCACCGTCGAATTTGTTCTTCTTAGCAAGGCCTGCCGAGAAGAACAAATTCGATTGTGCGTAGTGTATGCTGCAGAAGGTATGGGTGCATGTGAAGGGCATGGAGCAATGGCAGCTGGCACGGTGCCGTATGACGTCACGTGCAAGGCACGTATTGGTAGAAGCCCCGTCAGATGGCACTTGAAAGCCATGTAAGAGCGCTGTCTGACGGCACTCTGCACACTGGTTTACTCGCTAACCCGTTTTTCGCTCATGTGTACAGGATTATGCGGACCTACATTTTTGTGCGGTAGCTGATTTACTTTTCCTACCCTGTTACCTTAAAGGCCAATGGAGTATAGTAAGATAAAGTATAGTTTTGTAATAGGCCTTCGATAAGAAACTGACCCAAACTGTATGGGTGCATTTGGGTTGCATGGGCATCTACTACCGCAGACTGTGTAGTGGGTTGACAAACATGATGCTGCACGCAATAGGGCGTGTTAAAAAATGGTGATGTTATCTTCGTTGACAAGTTTTTTCATGAAGGGCCCTTGGATGCTTCGTCTACTGCAGAAGTTTGTCAGATTGTCTCCTGACCCCGTTCGTCAGATCGTCTTCTGACCCCGTTCGTCAGATCGTCTTCAGATTTTTTCCGTTCCTAAGCCTGAAGCGACACGGTAATCGTTCACGTAGCAACGTCTCGCAAACGCTAGTCGATTGTCTCTGCTCAATCAGTTGAGCGTATGTGGCAGGCAGAAGCAGACCGCATACTAATTTCGACAGAGGCTAGGAATCCCAACCTTTCTCTCCTGCTCCTCCTTCCCCTCCTTTTGAACTGGTTGGGATAACGGTCTCGCCCCTACTGCTTCTCCTGTTCTGCGGGGTATCAGTTAGACAGAGTATAGGTACAGGCAAATATCTTTGCTAAGGTGGGAAGGGGTTTTGAAGATTTCACATCGTCTCATTTTGAAAGGCCAAAGAAAGTATAGAAGGCTACAATTCATTTGAGCGACTATTAGAAGTCGCATGGCAGTATCACGGTCTAAAACAGATTACTGCTAAAAAACTGCTTAATCATCATCTTGACAAAACATACTTGAACTCAACCAAGAGGGCCATGAAGGCATTGGGCATTGCGGTGTGGTAGTGTACCTTGAACAGTAAGCTCGAGGATCGACACTTTGACACAGTTTGCTCAATTGCAAGTTTATATAGCCGTTCTGATATAGGTCATATGGTATGGCTATCTCCCTTCTGTAGTGTTGTTTGTTACCCAGCAGGTATCTCTCTTACAATACTAACATGATTCTAACACACTGTCATAGAGGGCACCGCCTTACTGTTACGTTTGTATATAAGCCGTGAATTAAGGCTGCCACGGGTCTTTGCCCATCCGGCCCAGCTGAGTTCTGTCTGGTCTCATACCTGCCCCTGGAGTCTGGGTTTTTGAAAGAATACAAATGGCCACTGGTTAACCACAAGACCCAGAATATGAATCTCGGCACCACTGAAGATTTCTTCATTTCGACGGCTTTGGTACAATTACCCCATTGGATCAGTAGGTTCATTCATCTGCACATTTTTGATTATTCATAGGAGATTATTTACCCTGTCCAACAACCTCCCGACCCTCAAAGAAAAGGAAATATTTGTGGCGGATACTCGCAAGTACTTGCTCTCTAGTTGTTATTTTAATCTGAAGAGTATAACCTCGTTCACAATGCCCTATATCATTTCATTTGTTTCAACAGTTAGATGTGGAAGTCTGTGCTTTGATCAAAGCTGTCGTGCACAAATTTGCACGGTGCTTGCACCTATTAGGATAACATCCTTATGCTTGTAGTTTCCATTTCACATGCGCTTACGAAATATAAACTTTAATTTTGAAATACTATCTATGTTTTATTTAGTACCTGATTTCAGCATGTTGCTGACACTGTCATTTTAAGTGTGAAAAATAAGTTGCTAATTCGTTAGCTTTTGCTTAAGGCTAGTGAAGTAAACATTTGCCTCACTGATGGTGCAGATGACTACACATGTAGAACTTGAACCATTACCTAGCCTTTTCCTGTAGAAAGTGTTTTGTGATTGACCTTGTATGTTAATTTTAGAGTAGCTAGCTGATTGGTTAACACATTTTTAAGATTAATTTTCTTTTATTCAGGTATGCTGGAAACAAGACGTGCCTGAGGGACATCGGGGGACGTTTTAACGCAAGCGACTCAGCTGAGTTCGTGATGGTGCAACGAGTCATGGATTTCCGCTGTGACATTGCTCCTGAGGTAATCAAGATTCCTCGGGACAAAGAGGCCCTGGCTGCTGAGGTTGAAGAGGTAAGGTTGACTAATGGAACTAAGGGGAGAAAATACTAAACTAGGATATTCCTTGAAAGGCTGAGAGGGGTAGCAGAAGTTTTGTAGCGACTGCTAATCCTCTAGGGAAATATCTGCTACCACTGTGAAACTTTTAAGACGTTTATATTTTTTCCGACTTGCTTTTACAAGTTTGATGCTTCTTAATTTTGAGAATGTTTTTTGTCTAGTTGATCTAATATTTGTATGTAAAGAGGAAACATAAATAAAACCATTGCTGATACAGTCCGTGATACATTTAGGAGAATGAGATAAACTCGAGCTTGAAGATGTGCTGCGGCCTGTTACTGTCGCACTCGTGGACACGCATGGCCCACGGTATTCTCACCTTTTCAGTTAGCAGCTCTTTACCATGCTTTACCACAAGATTACACAATGCTCTGAAGTTCTCATAAAAATATTTGAAGGGGTCGTAAAATATTTCTTGGAAATTCTGGTTTACATGTGTTTTTGGAATTGGAGTATTTTTTTTTCATATAACCCACATGCATTCAGTGGGTCTATCTACTAGCGTAAAAAAGATAATTTCAGTACTCAAGAGACGTTCCCTCTCAGTTTTTCATATTTGTCACTATACCGTGTGTTAGGTTAAGAAACTCTTTTCACCTGCAGAGCACAGTTGGTCGGTGATATTGTTGTCGTAGCTGTTTCTGGGAACCCGTAGCTCTAGCGAGTCGCTAATATTGGCAACCAGTAGGAAATTTTGCGAAAGATGGTGACATAGACATGGCTTAAAGGGCAACTGCGTTTCATTATCGACATTGAGAAATCTCGAATTCATCCTCCCCAAAAAATGTAAAAAAACAAACTCTGATAATAAACGTAAGTTGTCAGGACATTACTGCTCGAGTAATCCCGGTGGGTTAGCCCCATCGAGTGCACTTCTCACCGAGCCCCCGTGCATTGCGGGAAAACAATGCTCACGAGCTTGGTGGGAATTGTATCCCGCGGTAGACAGGTGCTCAATGTGAAGCACACTTAACGTGGCTAGGCCGCCGTGATCAACAAATAATATGAATTAGGTGAAAACGCGGTTTCAGTTAAGCAATTTATAAGTGCATTGAAAACATAGCAAAGCAACCAAATTTTTTTAATTCGTTTGAATTAGTCGGAAGTATGAAATATCGGAATTTGAATTATCGCGGGTCCACTGTACTCCAAACTAAATGCCACGGCTTGGCCGCTAGACCTACAGGTTCCCAGAAGCAGCTACGCCAACAATAGCACCGACCGGCCGCGCTCTGCAGGTGAGACGGTCTCGTAGCATAATAACACTTTTGTAGATCCCTTCTGCTCTTCCGTAAAGTTCAAATAAACTTTCTATGGATGACCTCCCTACTGAAAAAAACCATTTGGCGCCCATATGAAAATAAACGGGTCCATACCGGTAACCGTTTAACCATACTGGTCACCAGTTTGTCAAAGGGGTCGCCCGTATGGCTCAAAGGGGTCCCCCGTATGAGCCATAACGGTCACCTGTTTGGCAAACGGGTCGCTCGTCTGGGCAAATGGGCGACTCGTTTGGGCAAAGTTGTCGCACGTTTGCTCAAACCGGCGACCATGTTGCAAACTGCACCGGTTTAATCAAACGGCTCTCCGGAGCCCGTATGATATTGAACGTACAGATCGGCGGCGTGGGCACGCCTAGCGTTTCAGCCGTGGCAGCCAATGTTTTCCGGAAGGCTGGGAGCGCCGGTTCATCGATTTCAGATCGTCCGCGTAATGCAAGTAATTATATTTATATTTCAATTGCGCTGATTTTCGATTATACTGCAACTAAAACTAACATTTTTTTTTTGTTTTACGTAAACGCGCGACGTTGATGAGCCGATATTTTTGACAGACCTTTAATACTTTGTCCATCTTTGTTGCCTCAATTTACTTATTCAGCTAGAATCTTTCTCGCAGAAGACGCGACCGCGTGAAAGAATGTACGTCTAGACTCCGTTTCACTTTAGTTCAAGACGCAGCGAAGGTAGCACGCGTACACGCGGCTGCAAGAACATCGAGCATTGCGAGAGCACGCCCGCCGTTGCAGCACTCAAACTATGAGCTTGCGCTGAGTTCTTTCTTCGCTCGGGCGCAAACCGAGCTTCTGGCAGCCCCGACGCCATTTCCAAAGTTCGAGCGCGCTCGCGCGCGCGCGTTTGTTCTTCGGGACTACAAAAACGCATCTCCCTGGAATGCCTGGGGAGAGGGAGAGGGGCTGTCCCGGTGGTCCCAGCGCCTTGACCTCGCCCCCTCCCTCCTCTCTTGTCACCCCTGTCACGTGACCCACAGCAGCGCGCGAGCTACACGCTGATAAGCATAGAGATCCGGAAGGGCGCGCCTTGCAGCCGCTTTTTTCTTTGTCTGCTGGTTGTCAGTTGCTGCTCGAAGTTCGCTCGTCCCTTCCTGCTTCAATCTGTCGCCTAACCCTGCGGTCTTATTGGGATGTCTCTCGACAACGTATTGGATGTGCACCAAAGCTATCAGTGTTCGAAAAGATCCACGTGTATGTCGGCAACGAGCGATTCTTCAAAGAAGTCGCAAATTCTCGCGGTTTGGTTGGGTTCGGCAAATGACAGCTTGTGCGCCGCATCGTGTTGAAACTTCCAAGGAGCCGTTCCCTCTCGTTTGTGTTTGTGTGGTTGTCCTGCTTTGACCGTGACGACAAATATCACGGATTACCTCTTTCAAGTCCGCTATTGTTATGGTAAGTGCACTGCAACCTACGTGTTGGCAACGATTGACCGTTCTTCTACGCGTACTCTTCTAAATTATCTAAAGAATTATGCAGCGCCTATTCGCGCGGCAGCCAGGAGAATAATTTCCCCGGAAGTCTACCTGTATAGTGTTCACAGATCGCTTGCACGTTTGTACTTGTCTACAGAAGAGGTGATAAACTTCGAGGAGAATTGAAAACAATCTTTTGTGTCGGTTTTCCTGCCCACTTACAAGCACCTACGCGAGTGCATTTGTTCTACGTGTTTTCTCCATGTTATAAATACGTTTATGAGTTTCGGGACGTCTTAAATATGTTTAAGATAACCAACCTCCCAGACGATACCCATTTAGGGCTAGCGCATAATTTGCCATTTCGAAGGGCACGTTCAAACGTGTGGTCACGTGCCATGTCGAACGGGTACTCGTACCATACGGCACCCGTATCAAACGGGCACCTGTATCAAACGGGTACCATTTCGAACGGGTACCGTTTCCAAACGGGTACCCGTATCCCATAATCACGTTTGATCCAAACGGATCGACAGGTTTGATTTCAAACGGGCGACCAGTTTGCCACCCGTTTGAATTTCAAATGGTTTTTTTCAGTAGGGCTTTGCATCATGTGGTACGTTCAATTTGTGTTTTAAGATTCCAAATTGACAGTAGTGCCTTTAGCAAGGGTTGAGCTAGAGCATCTCTCCAGAACTATGCAACGCTGCTCATTGCTTTATTTGCCGAATGCCGCGTCAGCACTGACTTGCGATTGTCTATAGTCGCCTCACAATCTGCAAAAGCGAATGGTAAAGACTGGTTCTGAAGCAAGCGGTCACCAAGAAACAGTCGCACAGGCGTCGTCGGATGTAAAAGACAGCGGAGCCGGCAAAGCGGAGCAGGTGAAGCTCTCTAGCAGACGACATTTGCACCCTGCCGCCCGCGTGCCCGCTACACGACGTCAATGTAGCAAATGGTTCACAATGGCGATAACAACACAGGAGCAATGCAGTTGTAAATCTTAATTCAATATTTTTTGAAGAGTAAATCAGGATTTTTTTAACAAAGGTATCGTGATTTATCGTTGCTCATCTGCCTAAGAGTCGAAAAGACTGTCTGAAAAACAAATTTTAAATGTGGTTCAATATTTTGCCGCAATACTTAGGAGTTGACATTTTTGTGGTTTAATCAATATATAAAAATTAAGGTCAGGGATATACATTTTCTTTTCATTACTCCTTCGAAGAATAATTGGAGCCGCACTCGGTGCACTTATGGTTTGGCATCATGTTTATTCTAGTCAATGTTTTTATTGCAGATTGCTGGATTTCCAGGAGTCATCGGTTGCATAGACGGATCTTACATAGACACGAAATGCCCCGCAAACAAAGTGAAGTCTACGTATATTAACCGACATGATCAGACGTCTGTGACTCTGCAGGCGGTCTGCGATACCCGCTACAGGTTTTTAGACGTGTTTGCTGGCCCTTCAAGCAGAATGCACGATGCCCGAATATTTTGCTTGTCGTTTCTTTCCGACGAACTGCCGCAACTCTGCGAGACCAGGAAGTACCACATGCTCGGGGATGCTGCATATCCCACAAGAGAGTACCTTATGACTCCGTACAAGGACTATGGCAGCATGACCCCTGAGCAGGTAGCATACAATAGCCGTCACACCGCTACACGGGTCCGAATTGAAAATTCGTTCGGAATTCTGAAGCAAAGATTCCGGCAACTCCGATACTTGGAGTTTCGCAAAGTGGACAAGATCAGCAAGTTCATTATGGCATGCTGTGTAGTCCATAACCTCTTTGTCGACAACGGGGACTCTCCCTTCGAGCGGGAGAGTGAAACTGACAGAAGGAAGAGGCTGCGGGAGGAAGCCGAGAGGCTACGACTGCCAGTGGAAGTTGATGTGCGGGATGCGGCGCTGCGCCAGCTTGGTAGCATAAAGCGAGACAGCCTTGCCCAGGCACTTCTGTGAAGCGTGTATTTTTGTGCTATTGTTGGTGATCGTTAGCAATGCTACATTAAATTTTATTTGAACCTTGCAGTTGCCTTAACAAGTTTTTATTTCGTCTGGCTTCAATGATCCACGTGAGCGGGCTCTTCGCTGCACTCCAGCAGCCTGTTTATTGCTGCGATGTGTTCTCGATGGGCACTCAGCAGTTCCTGGTGGCGCTGATCTTTTCTTGCTTCTCTTGCTGCTGCCGCCTTTTCTCTTTCGTCTTTCTTCATTTCTTTCTCCTTCTGCAGCTCTGCCATCTTTTCAAAAAATACATTCATAGGCCTCATTCTGTTGGTACTTGGTCGAAGTGACCGATCTGCTGCATTTTGTCGTTTCTCACTGGCCCTTCTAGGAGCTTCCTCCCTGTGGCTGGGAGTTGATGCTGTCGATCCTGAGGGCTCATCGGGTCCCACCGATGCAACATGTGCACTGGTCGTAGCACCAACAGCCGCCCTCTCTTTGTAGATGACGCTCCTTACCCCTCTCATCACCTCGGGCTCCACACTGTCGTCAAAACTTGCAATTGCAGCAAACTCTTGTTCGTACTGGACGGCGCACCTTGTGGAGCCGGACTTTCTGTTATTAACGACTTGGTTTTTCTTCTTCCTCATTAGGGTCTTGAAGCGTGTCTCGCATTGGGTGCCTGTTCTCGTTGTTCCAAGCAGCTCCCTCATTTTTGAAGCAATCATGTCGTACATGGCCTTTTTTGTACGAAACTTTTTCATGGGTCCGATCTGGTGGGAGTAGAGTGTGTAATATTCCAAGAGCACCTTCGTCTCCCCCTCGCGCCAAAGATTTCCTGAAAAAAAAAACAATAATTAGACACATGGTTTGCTGTGTATTGATTGCACTGTGCAGGCAAATGAAGTCTTCTAAAATGTGCTGTAGTGGTGCAATGATGAAATGATTTCTACACACATTTAGCCTGAAAAATTTCAGTACCTCGAAATAGAGTCTCTATTGCTCCATCGAAACTTGTTTTGTGGAATCACTTTTCCAGGGCAACTTTTCATGGACACACGTTTCGTCAACAATGCAATGTTTTGTAGGAAGTTGCTTCTTACACACATGCTCATGTAAAGTTTTGTCGACAACATATTTAATAAAAAATGTAATCTGGAAGTCTAAAGTCTAGCATGTGATTCACTGAAGTGTGTTTACTTCCCCCCTCCCCCCTTTCCTCCCCTGCAATCTAGGTGCGAAGCAAAAACAATTAGTGCAAAAACTTCAAGGTTGTGGTCAACGAAACGTTGGAAGGTGTGTCGACAAAATGAAGGCATTTTGATGAAACGTCGTATGTCGACGGAACAATTTGCCGATAAAACATCATGCGACAAACTGATTGCCACCGGGAAAAATAACCAGACATGCACTTACCAGCGTTTGATAAGCTCTGGTCCGCTGTTCCATTGGACCCCACCTGGGACTCGAGCAGAGGCTGCGACATTGGGGATGGGGCTGCATGAAAAGAATGCAAGTTTTAGTACAAACTAGTTATGAACCAGTTCAATAGAGAGATGCAAATGCTGCTATCATGAATGCCAGTGTCAGTGTACACAGATTGGTTGTTTTATAAATGTTGAGGTATTAGCAACAGTTTTAGGAACCGTTTCGCCAACCCAGTAAGACTCCCGACCTGGGGCTCTAATCTGGACACTTGGCGAAAAAGTCGGCGAGGGATTCGACCGCAGTAATTGGTTGGCTAAAGCCAAGATCGGGCGTGGCGTCGGCCAATCGCGGCCATCGGGTTCCTCGCCGACTTTATCGCCAAGTGTCCAGAGTAGAGCCCCAGGCTGCTCCTATCGATTTCCCCTCGTACCCCCTTTTCTCTCCCCCCGCCCCCCGAGAGTAAATGCAAGTGGGTATAAGGTTTAAAAGCGCAAACAGGCAGGGACAATAGAAAATAACACAAACGACAGGGACAAGGCGCCTTCTCCCTTTCGTTTGTTATTTTTTATTGTCCGTCTGTTTGCGCTTTTAAACCTTATACCTACCATGGACCACCTAGCCCAAACCAAAGTTTTAATGAGTAAATGACAAATACGCTGCGTGCACACACACGATGGACTATACACCTACCTACCTACCCCCCCCCCCCCCCTTTTTTTCACCTACAACGCGTACAACTACTACTAAAGCCTCTGGTCTCTAGCATACACTGGCAGGAGTGAAATTAGAGCCATTAGTTTCCATAGCGCGCGAGCCTCTACATGCGTAAACGCAACTGGCCACCGAATTCCCGGAAATAACGAGACATTCGGGAATTACGCGCAACGTGGTTAAAAGACTAAGTAGGGACATTTACGGTCCGTATTAGTTTCCTTTCCGCGCCTTATACACAAAAGTATGGCTTTCGGAGAATGATGAAACATATGGCCATCTGTTTCGAAAGTAGCTGTAACTTTTTTGTTAGCGATGCAACAGATTGGGGAAAACAAACTTCGTAGCACTTTCCTCAATGTTTCAAGTTCGCGGTGCCTTACATGCGTGTTCGGATATTCCACCCCCAACATTTTAATTACTGCACACAGCTGGGGATATCAGAATATAATTTTGCACTTCATATTACTCACGTGGCGTCGATCCATGAATGAGGGAAAGCAACAGGCTCTCGGAGTTGGAAGCACTTCCCATCCTGACAATATCCGAAGGGAAAAGGAAAAGACGTGAGCCAGTCGTTCAAAGTGGCGGCGGGCGATGGCGCTCCAGACGGAATTTCCGTCACTTCCGCTTCCGCTGAATCGAGAGCGCTCCGAGACCAACACTTGCAATCGGCTGAGAAGGATTCAGCGCGTCTCCGAGCCGGAGGCGAGAGCGCTCTCCCGAATCGAGGTCAGAGGAGAGGAGCGACCACGCGAATTCACCATAAGAAAAAACGGGTGTAGTCGGGTGTATCGGGAGCACATGCACCCCTTTCCTGAAAGATGCACCCTTCGTTGCCCAGCCAGTGTGTTTGTGCACTGAAAATGAGCACCCTCCTTTCCCTTAAAAACCTCTAGGTATATCAGTGCACCGCCACGCTACACTCTAAATGTGATTACTCATGACATGCGGCACAAAAGTGCATCTTTTGTGCCGCTTGATTTATGCGTAATTATGTTACTCATGCGAACGTTACTCATCCCATGAGTAGCAGGATGTTACCCATCCCATGAGCAAAAACGGTTTCCTATGTTTAAAACCTCCTCACCACTCCCCCCCCCCCCCCCCCTACGTGCGAGGGGGACCAGTGAAAGAGTGGCGAGAAAATTTTCCCGCCTTTGAATGTTTCTTGCAGGCCTGGATTTAAGAGCAGCGCTGATCCCCGAGCTCTTGTGAGGGTGCTACTGGGTTCGGCATGCTGTCAGCTTGCCCACCGGACCTGGGAATTAATATACCTATCATTTAAAGATGACGCGTGATCCTCAACCGCAATGATGACGAAATTCTTATAGCTTGCTCTCCAAATAAACTGGAAATGGGGACGCAGCAAGTTGCCTGGCGGTTCGATGGCAACTTTATAGTGAATGCAGAGAAGCGGGATGAAATCTATTCGCCAACAACCTCCCAGGTGCCAGACGGGCTTGCTGGAAGGGCAAAAATAACTGTTTGGCATGAGAGAAGCAATACTCAACTTGAAAGAACTTTATTCCAAACAAATTTTATCACATCTCGGGATGATATGCTTGTCGCAATTTCTAACTTAGAACTACACCCTATTTTACTCAAACGAACTTTGAAATAAAAGTACTAGAAAATTTCGCAAAGGAGGAAGATCTGTACTCTTGTCAAGAACCACAATAGCGCTCAATTTGTTAAGCTACTTCAAATACTGTTTGCAAGCACTTATCAGGGAGCAGAGGCGAGCTGATTGGTAACCTCTGTCGAACCTTGACCCCCGTTTTACAATGAATGTTTGCAAAAACCCTAAAAGCTGCCCATAGGAAGATGGATAGCTGAAGTTCAAAATATAATAAACACCCAGCAGAAGGACAGACGCCTTGAGGTCGGAGCAGGTGCTTGGTAAGTTGACCACCTGGGGACTGCTTCCGGTACAGAGAATACCCTTTGTTTTGGACCCCAGAAAGGCTTTCGGTCCTGGGCATCCTCTCTCAACTGTCGGAACGTCTTCCTGGAAACAAAGTGCCCAAAGCTCTAATAAAATAGCTGCTACCCATCTTCACGCTCTCACTCTATAGCTGCGCTCAGCGTCAATGTGGGCTTAACTTTAATTATTTTGATTTGAAGTCAGTTAAAGAGCATTGCTTTTTGGGTAGTCAAATGGCCGAGTTATGGGCGGTATTATCACTGAGCAAAAAGCAAAATGTCAGTATGATAGCTTTGAACCCACAGTCTTAAAAAGTATCTACGCGACTATACTTCCCTGCCGAGCACTGGGTAAGTCTATTAGCGTGGTCCATGAAAGACATCTGACGAATGACAATGCCGCAGGTATGCCTAGACATAAAAATGATGTCTCTCATGGGAGACTGAGCATGACTGGACAGGTCGTGCTCAGTATCCGAATGCACACTTCATTTTCACGCTAAGCATATTTGCGATCTTTTGATTCATTGAATTCATTTCGTACAACACGCTGGTTCGTCCACCGAGCACTCTCCGGGAATGTAGTCGCGCAGCTATTTTTAAAACACAACGAGGATTGTATTAAATTTCATGTCAATGCAAGCCCCCATAAAAAATGCTTGTTCCAAATACCGTGTTTCTAACATGGCCATTACATGAAGCGTTTATCTTATTAGTAAATTTGACTGACCGTGCTCAAAGCATCATCGCGGGATGATCTTGACCGCAGAAAGGCTTGAACGTCCATCAGTGTTGCTTGGCGTATCCCGTGATCCTTGCCGAAGCCCTCCAGTACGCTGGTGCACACGCCTTTCATGCTTGTAAAACTCATGGCGAAGTGCAGCTCGCATTCTGCCAGCAGCTATCCAAGAGAGTAGACAAAGTTCATTCTTACGGTAAACATAGTCAACAATGCTCTAAAAAGAGCAGCCTGTATGATTTGGTCGGCGTGCGTACTAGAATGAAATAGAAAATGCTCACTTACGCATTCAGCATTCAAGAAGTAGACTGGAAGTTTGTCCAAGACGGTGCCTTTCCTCTCTTCAAATGTCACTTTGAGGAGCTTGACTACATATGGCACATTTACTGAGGCTGGGCACTTGACAGCAGAGTCGATGGACTGAAAGAGGGAGGGGGGTGTGAGGCATTGAATGCTGGAATGCACATAAGAGAGCCAGAAGACAAATTTACCTCCAGTTCCTTGAGAGCATCTGGGGTGGACTGCTGCGCTAGAGTGTCTACATCATACTGATCCGCTCCATTGTTTGCCTGCGCCTTGTCTTTTTTTTCTCGTGCGTACCTCATCTTTCGCCTCGCTGTTAACCGGCACATGAATACACTCTGCCAGAAGTCAAAACAGATGTTTTAGGAACCCTCCCTGATACCATTCGAAGCACGGGGCAGTGGTAATTAAACAGTTGAAAATGTATTTACCCAGGAGACGTGTCTGTCTCGTTGAGAGCTTGGTCCCAGGTTTCGGTCGGTCCCAAAGCATGTCCGGGTATTTTTGTGCCAAAGTTGACCCAAGCAATGAATATTGCACTCTTCTAAGTGCCGTATTGGCCTCCTTAACGAGATTGTTTTCACTGTACGAAAAGAAGTGCAGCAAAACTAGAACACTTTTCTTTAACAGCTTTGCAATATCAAACTTGTAACCAATAAATACGGCGCATGAATCCGGTGATCAATAATTTCGGTAATCGATACATACGGAAATACAGCAAATGAATTATTTCTTCATCACCCACCCCCCTTCCCCCTTGCTCAAGAATTATTTACCCTTTTTCCTTTTCCTACGCTCGAAGAAATGCTTGAAAAGACAACGGAGTTCGGACACTGCTGACATACAACATAATGTGAATGCTGAACTCAACCACACCCCACACGCTGCCTTCGACTGAACTCAACCACACCCCGACGCAAGGCATAACCACGGACGTCGGAACTGTCGGGACTGGAACCACTGAATGTAGGCGACTCTCCGTGCACTGATGGAGAAATTTACGAGGCCTGTGCCCGACCCCACTTCCAGGAAGAACATAGAAGCTTGATTTCGGTTCTGTGTACAGTGCTGGGCCGCCATGACGTTTCTAAGAGTCATGGCCCTGCTATAGACGCTTTCCAGCACCTGTGCGTGGGCGCCGCCATAACCGACCTTTAGTTTTTGTTTCCTCTTATTTTGATCACTTTGCCCCATCCTTACCATAGCAGGTCAGCTTATTGTCATTTTAGGTCGAACTGTGTCTTTCTCCCCTGCGTTGTCCTTTGTGGAGGTTCGTGAAAGCCCGCTTGAGTGGCTTGGCGTCTCGGTAAGACAAGAGAAGGTCGGCAATGGCGGCTGTACTCGGGCGCGTGTGTAAAGCGTGTATATATTGCAACGCA